AGTCCCGTTATCCCCATTCTCCCTTGAGCCATGGGATTATGGGAGACATGGGAGAGTACACTCTCCCAAGGCCGCCCGTTATCCCTTTCTTGGCGGGAGAGCCATCCTTGGCGGGATAGTACATCACGTGACTTCTCGAGCCCCGCGATTACCTTTTGACATGGACGTCCCAGGGCCTTCTGCCACTTCGTCATTTGTCAAGGAGAGAATCCTTCTTGTTACTTGTAACACGTGTATAGGCGTTAATGCGTAGTGCTAGATTACTGGCGTATAAAAATTAGTATAATAACTAGCGTGGTTAAGTAGTTATTTAGTAATATATCTGGGTTGCGCGAAAAAATATCGTATTGATGGTAATATCGTATTGATGGTCGGCACTCGCCTGCGGCGAGTGTCAGCGCAGCTGACGTAGCTTATTACTAAGCTACGCCTTGGCACGGATAGGTAGTCGAGTCCTTTTGAATGCGGCAAGAAGAGCCTGCGAGACATATCTGTTCTTCCACAGTTTGTTCGGTCTTAGGTTCTACTCTTCGAACTCCGTCTTTACTATGCACTTGTTTTTGCTGATAAAACTTGCTTGTCCCTTCTTCTCTTGTACCATGTAAGTTTTAATACTTCGTTAGTCTTTCATAGCTTATCTGTTTTGTCATACAATGTGTCCATTCGACGATCCGTGGAACCTTCTTTGCGATGCGGCAATCCTGCGAACACAGGTTCCAGCTTGTGGCGTTCTGGGGTTCTCGACACGTGGCCCGTGCACGCTTACTCAAGCAAAGCCAAGGTGACCTTTGCTATCCCTCGTCACAACACGCCTCTCTCACTACACGCCCAATCCAAGCCGCACGACACACGACACCACTATGACTTCGTCCATTTTCTACAAATTCAAAAACTCTAGGGACAGCGAGCGCATAATCTTCAATGGCACCGATCTGAGCGTCTTCGAACTGAAGAAGGAGATCATCAGCGCGAGCGGCCTGGGCGATGGAACCGACTTCAACCTCCACATCTTCCCGCAAGATGATCCAGCTTCAGAATACAAGGACGATACTACACTGATACCACGATCCTCCACCGTCATCGCGATACGGCGCCCTGCTCCCAAAGGACAGGGCAGGGCAGCACGCTATGTCACAGGCAAGGCGCCGTCACGCGCAATCACTACACAAACCAAGCCTGCGGCCCCTCTACCTCAAGCGAACAATGCAACACCAGAAGATGCCGAGGCAGCTTTCCTGGCAGAATCCGCCATGGCTTGGGATGCCCAGAAAGAGGCTCTTTCACACGCGAAGCCGGTCTATCGCAAGAACAACACCAAGAATGTAGTCGTCCCGTCGCACCCACCGCCACCAGGTTACGTCTGCCGTCGCTGCAACATCAAAGGCCACTGGATACAGGCCTGCCCCACCAACGACGACCCCGACTTTAAACCCGCTTTCCAAGCCAAGCGCACGACTGGTATACCACAGTCCTTCCTGAAGAAGGTTGAGAAGCCTGTCGACGAGGAAGCTGCGAAGGGCATCATGCTCAACGCTGATGGAGAATATGTACAGGTCATGACAGACACAAAGGCATGGGATAAATTTCAAGAGAAGACAAATGCATCACGTGCGCGCGCAGCGAGTGCTGATGCCGCCAGCAAGGAGCTCCGCGAACGCGGACTCGAATGTCCAATCGACAACCAGAGATTTGTGGACCCTGTCAAGACTCCATGTTGTGGTAAGACATACTGCCGCGAGTGCATCGACAACGCGCTTGCAGATGGTGATTTAGTTTGCCCCAACTGTGCAAAGGAGGATGTTTTGATGGATGATCTTATTGCCGACGATGATATGGTCAAGTCTCTCAAGGCATACGACGCAGAGAAGGCAGCAGAGAAGGAGAAGGCAGCAAAGGCAGCAGTTGCTTCAACAAATGAATCAGTTTCTCAATCCCATGCTACTGACAACGCTAATTCTCCCGTCGCAAATGACACTACAAATACTACTAGTGCTACTAGTGCTTCTGTTGCGGCAGTGGCGGACGAGGTCTCCGATACTGACTCTACTTCTTCTAAAAAGCGCAAAGAGCCACCGACAGATATCAAGCCACCAACCGCACCAAAAGCAATGCGTCAAGCAGCCGACCCCGCGTCGAAGATGGAGCAGGAATTTATTCAGCAAATGGAAATGCTCAAAAATGCGCCAATGGAACCAATGGGCATGCCAATGAACATGCCGATGCCTATGCCGATGCAGATGCCAATGCCGATGCAGATGCCAAACCAAATGGGCTTCCAAAATGGCTACCAGATGGGTTTTCCACAGCAACACCAACAGCAAGGGCCACAACAAGGGTGGTTTCCCCAGCAGAACTTTGGGTATGGTCAACAGCAGCAGTATGGTCAGCAGTTTGGCCAGCAACAGCAGTATGGATGGGGCGGAGGACAAATGCAAGGGCAATGGGGCGGTGCACAGGGACAACAGGATAATGATGCATATGATAGGCAACCAGTTAATCCTCGAGGTCGCAATCGCAGATCTCGTGCTCCAGATTATCGCTACCTGTGAGCGTTTTCTTGGTATCATGCAGTGTTTTTGTGGACATTCATCAATTGGGAATGCTGGGCCTTGCATACCCCTTTCCGTTACATATACTTTACTTAGGGTGGGGGGAAATGGCGGATCTTCATGGTATTGGGGGAGGTGATCGTTGTCTTTTGGCGTTTGGTGGGCCACTATTATCCAACACTATTGTCACTGGGCTCGGACAGCTCATGTGCTTGAGTGAATGACTTTGTTGTTATTCGTAACACGGACTATGAATCAACGCTTACTCGGATTACTGTATATAAATTGCTGTCTGCAAAGGAATTAGAGGTGTTTTTATGATAATCCGTTGCGTGTGATTACTAACTATGTGCAATGTGAGATAAGGCAAGATGACCGATCTGTTTGCGGCAACGGAAGCTACTTGTTTTTGACGGGAGTCCAATAGGATCATCGTATCTCCGAAATCATCTTCGCAGCTTTGGTAGAACAAACAAAAAATCAAATCTGGACGTTGCTAGGGACCGGGTATGGCAACGCGTGGGGTCGAACCTACGGAAAGGGCGGGTGAGACTAAAAGAGGAAGTGGAATTCCGGGTTTATCAACGAGCGACCTGAAATCTTTGAAAAGTCCGACACATAATAAGTTAACAAGAAATCTTCACACCTTCTGTCTTTCTTATTACTTGTTCACAATATATCTATTCTTGACTATAGAGTTGTTGCATTGGGTAGCAAGAAATCCTTGTCGCGCGCAAGAAAATTAACTTTTCCTCGGACTCAAATGGCCCTGAACATCATTTTGATTGTCTCTTCCCAAACTAGGCACCTACACACACATCTTCAGTGTTCATGTGGATGACAAGAAATATATATTACCGTAGTGAGCAGCCAATCACAAACGGATGCAACCCCTCCATCCCCGCAGCCTCGCGACTGGTACTGCCACTATCTGACATACATTTCGTATTTCACGTATAACTATGTATCATATCGCTTCGATCAGCCTTTCCTTCTCTCGTGCCGTGAACTCAGAGTAGCTATATAAAAGTGAAAGTAGCTTTAGAAACATTCAACCCTCAAACCTTCCAACTCCGACACCAAATGGCGGAAGCAACGCCGTTTGTACGACCATATGACGCATCCCGTGACTTCCAGCATGGCATGCACGTAGTACGTATACATTCATCACAACCAAATCACCCGTTGGCATGTGCTAACCACACTCCTCCCAGTATCTCTCAACCATCGACTCAGTTCTCGACTGGGAACCCGCACGTACCATAGGTTCGCACCTATGGTACAGGCCCTATGTCGCTCTGACACCAGAAACATGTTTCGTGCTTGACGACGGCAACGGGCGCGTAGTTGGGTATTGCATCGGCACAGCAGACACACTGTCTTTTGCGCAGCGCTGGCGCGAAGAGTTTGCTCCAAGTGTAGACCGCACGCTTGTTCCTCCTGATGTACACGTCGGTGGTGACGATGATGCTGCGTCACTCATGGAAAAAGAGGATATTAGGCATTTTCGGAAAGCGGTGTATGAGGCTGATTGTAGTATGCTGCAGCCGTGGCCGGAGACTTTACGGCGGTATCCGGCGCATATTCATATTGATATCTTGAAAGAATATCAGAGGAAGAGGTGGGGGACTGTGCTGATGAAGAGGTTCCTTGATAAAGCTAGGGAGTTGGGGGCGAGTGGGGTGCATTTGGATATGGTGCAGGCGAATGTAAAGGCTCGGGCGTTTTACGAAAGTATTGGGTTTAAGCTTTGCCAGCAGGTATTGGACGGAGGAGAGAGTGGTGGTCCTGGTGTGAATGGTATTGTGGTGACTTTGGTCAAAGATCTTTAATGTCGAAGGGTGTAATGGAATGCTGTTGATGAAGCATACCTCGTACCATTTTCATTCTCCACAATTACTGTCAATATCTTTGTTGGCAATATTATTCAATGGTACATGATGAGCTGGATGCAGGTGATGTCCTCCGACAGCAAGGTAACAGCACCTCATAAGCAACGTGGTTAACGACGCATCGCTGCCCATTTATTATATTAACCTCAGGATGAAATGCCCGCATTTTCTCTATTCTCACATCACATATTCTTTCCATCTCTGAGCGAACATCATTTCCACATATACATACCTCCGCACCACATGCGAAGCAGCCTGAATAGGCACCACCTCCTTCAAAATGACTACATACACTCAACAACAAACACCATCATCTATTAATACTCTGTACACTGACCCTGCACAAGGACAGACCTCAAATCCAGCAGAGCAGTACACTGCTCTTCCTCCAAGCTCAACAAGCAAGAAAACTTACCCAACCATTTTCACACTCCCCCACATTGGCCGGGAACTACATCCACAAGAACTCCTTCACGCACGAAACTTGACAAGAGCTGAATCTTCTACCACCAAGAACAACAACTACAGTCTCTACACTAACGATTCTACAGCAACCAGCACCTCGACCAACACAAACCCTGAATACAGCATCTCCACCCTCCTCCAGAAACTAACCACATTTCTTACAAACTTCTTCCTCCGCTCCTACACCAACAACAATCCCTCTGCATCCACCGCTTCCAACACCCCAGGCAGTCCCCAGAACCACCCCCACGAACCTACCTTCCCCCCCTTCCTCCTCCCCTACACCCCCGCACCCTCCTCTTACCCCTCTTCTTCCTTCTCCTCCGGCACCGAAAGCGACAAGGAACCCACTCGCGAGAAACAGAAACAAAAGCAAAAGCAAAAAAGGTGCTGGGTAGGTCGCCCCCGAGGCGCGATTTTACGACCAAGAGATCGATATTATGCACGGGGACTATGCGATAAGCACGGTAGTGAAGGGTTATTTTTGGAGAATATGCGGATTCATCATGGAGTGAAAGGGGTGGAGGGGGAGAGGTGGCATGCATGGAGGTGTGGGTAAAATGCGAGGATATGATGTGTGGATGTAAGGTGGTAGATGATAGGGTTGAGAGAAGTGAATGGGAAACGAAGAAAGAGGTGGGAATAACGTACCTCACGGGTTCGTTGATCACACGGGTTCGTTGATCACTTTTGCCAAGACCCCACCAAAACACCTACCCTACCTAAATGTCGCAACAA